GAGACAAAATATTTATTGTAACTAACAATATTTTTGCTGTGCTGTCCAGGAACTTACCTATATTTTATACAGATACTGAAAGGATAAAATTCATAATTTTATTGAGGCTTCTAATGCACAAGTGTATACTTTAATGATTTCAATAACTTTGTTTCGATGGTAGCGTGAGATATAAACATACTCATTTTTATTTTATGAATTCTGAAGATGCATTCTAAAGAACCATTGATGCTGCGTTACATTCTGTATGTTGTAATACTTTGAAATTAAGCCACATTTCAGTCATTTAAGTTGTTTCAAAATGGATCATCACTGAAAATACAAATTGTCTTCAATGCTAAGCAAAAACTTCTTCCGTCGGGAATTACACTGTCAATTTGACACCTTGCTCTGCCAGCACCTTCCTCTATCTGAGGTTTTCTTTCTCTCTCAGTGGCTTTCTATCTCTGACCTTTTGTTTCTTCCTGACCAGCTTTCTGTATATCTCTATCTCTGGCTTGTTCTATTGTTCTCACTTTCTCAGGGATGGATTTTTTTTCTCTCACTCAGCCTCTTTCTTTTTCTGACTCTCCTCTCTCTCTCTCTGCTTGTAACCTACACGGTACCTGTTAAAAGCAGCTTAATAAACGCCTTGTATTTCAGGATCACAGTTGTGCTGAAGGGCCAAGTTGTGGACCTCGTGGACCACATTGTGTGCATGCACACAGCTAAAAAAAATATTTATGCTGGTATCGACATTCTTCTGTAACAGCACTTTCAGGAAGCAGCTAATAAGTTGACTTTGTTGTTCAGGAATGTTTCCCACCATTGATATCACCCTGAAGCCTTCAAACGTGATTCACCACCACTATAAATCCATTATGCTCACGGTTAGACCTGCAATATTAATTTGTTCATTTTTAAAATGACATTGGTGAGAAGTGTTATATTTTCCTGCTTCCCACCGATATACTTGTATGTTGTACCCAGACTGGATTCCACATTCATGTCCAGTCGCAAGCTGTTTCTTGCCATTTTTTTTTAGCATCGTGCAGTCGCCAGTTATTTCTGCTTCAAATTCCAGTGAAGATCGAAGAGAAAATTCTGGACAGAATTGCTATTGATTACTTCAGGATTTAAGCATTTCCTACTTTATATTCTCAAAAGAGGAAACGAGTGCTTTTCTCACTTGAACAGAGATTTTTTTATTTGGCCAGACAATGTCTCAACATTACATTTGCCAAGTACTTCAGCAAAGTAAATGGGAATTAGCCTTTTGCAAAGATGTATTTTAGTTCTGAAGACAGTGCATGGAAAACCAAGTGTTTCTATCAGGTTAGCCTTGCCCATCCTCACCTCCAATGCCAACTGTGAGGCGATGTTGGACTTCCTTGAATCCAAAGTTGAGGGATCCGCTCAGCTGCCTCTTCCCTTCTACTCCCTCCCCATCTCCCCCTCTCACCGCGGGCCCTACCCATCCCTCTCTCCACACCTTCGAACGTGTCTCCCACTCCTCTTTCATCACCACTATAACCCGTGTAAAACCGACCACCTGCTCCCTCGACCCCATCCCTACCCCTCTCCTTACTTCCCAGCTCCACCTCCTTGCCCCTCTACTCACAGACATCCTAAATCTCTCCTTGTCCACTGGCACCATTCCTACCCTTTTAAAAACGGACGTCATCACTCCTATCCTTACAAAACCCTCCCTGGACCCATTCTCCTCTAGCCCCCGCACCTTCTCGTGCGGCATTTCTCAGGGCTCTGTCCTTGGTTCCCTCCTCTTCAATATCTATATGCTCCCTCTTGGTGACATCATCCGCAGACATGGGGTCAACTTCCACATGTATGCGGATGACACCCAACTGTACCTCTCTGTCTCCACCTTTAACTCCAGGACTATTGCTGTCCTGACAGAATGTCTGTCAGACATCAAGTGCTGGAAGAGAGCTAACTTTCTTCAGTTGAACAAAAGTTCAACAAAACCATGATTACATGGTTGGCTGCAGGCTGCCGAAACCCTCATAAATGCATTCATAACATCGAGGCTTGACTATGCAAACTCCTTGCTTCTCGGCCTCCCAACTCCTCCCTCTGTAGGCTGCAGATCATCCAGAACTCTGCATCCGTGTCCTCTTCCCCACCAGGATCCGTGACCCTATCACCCCCATCCTCGCCCGACTCCACTGGCTTCCCATCACACAGAGGATACAATTCAAGCTCACCCCTACCTCTGTGACCTCCTAACCCCCAACCATCCTGCCCGCTCCCTTCGCTCAGCGGGCTCCGGCCTGCTTCACGTCACCCACCCTACCATTGGTGGGCGGGCCTTCAGCCACTCTGCCCCTATCCTCTGGAACTCCATCCCGCAGTCCCTCTGCCTCGCCCCCTCCCTTGTCTCCTTCAAGACCCATTTCAAGACTCTCCTCTTCAACCGTGCTTTTGATCACTCTTGCTTCCCCACCCTACTTCGACTAACAACTGGGTTTCTACTTATAATAATAATAATAATCCTTGCATTTGATATAGCGCTTTTCACGTCGGGAGGATGTCCCAAAGCGCTTCACAGAACACACTGTAAAGTGAATTGACTGTATATTTGTGGGCGAACGCGGCAGCCAATTGCGCACAGCAATGTCCCACAAACAGTCGTAGATTGAAAATGACCAATTTAATTATTGTTTTTAGTTTTGGAGGGATTATTATTAGGCTCTGTGTGGAGTAAGGAAACTTGCCCATCGTTTCACCCTGCTGGGAATTGAACTTAGGTCTCTTGCTTGCAAGGCGAGTGCTCTAACCACTGAGTTGCAATTTTCTGAATTATTGTCGCTCGCTAGTCAAAAAATAACCGGGATTTTTTATGTGGCAGTTTTAATACCTATTGAGATTGGACAAAGATTACCATCAATTTGTGTTACTATGACCTTCACCAGCCTCCAAGTGCCATCACCAACACCTGACACATTACAGGAGAGCATCTGCACTTAAACCCTCAGGGGAGAGTCCGTGATTCAGACAATTATGCTGCTGGACAAATGATTTGTTCTTCCATTTATTGTTTGTTCAGAGATAGTAAATACCAGATTCTGAAGATATGTGAATGGCAAAAGGTTCATTAAAAGTAAATACATTTGTTTAACGTGCCCAAAACACACCTTGTACAAAGCAAAGAAGACCGCAGATCTTTCATTTTGTGAAAATTAAAGCAAAGGATTAAAATAACAAACCCAATCATGGGGACTTTGGTGTATTAGGAAATCAGTGAAGCTTCGTGTTGTAACTGATTTATGCGGTAGTGAGTTATCACACGTTTACAGTTGGTAACAGTGCTTGACATTGTTTGTAATTGTAGTTGAGTTTGCAGCAATACTATTTCAGCCCATTAAAACTTAACCTTTGAGATTTTGAGATGTATTCATTCAGAAAGTAATTTGTAATTTTGGCAGTCTTCAAGAATTGATTAAAGCATGGAGTTAGGATAAAAAGTGTTTTACTCTGTTACTGAATGGTCTGTGCTCGAATTAGAACTGGTGCCTGGCATTTAGAATTTCATATTATAAAAATAAATCTGTCTGACATTTTACACAATTTACATAGTAATGATAAGAGTTCCACATTTATTTTGCCTATATTGCAACAAATAAGATCATTGATTTAACCTGGAATAAATAATTCTTCTATCTAAGTGTATTCGCGGTTAATGTTTGCAGTGGTGTATGTTCTATTCTTGGTATGATATCAAGTGTGGCTTTGGATGAGCCATGTGTTTGGAATGGCACCTGATCTTAATCCTTCAGAAGCCATGTGGACATTTTTAATTTGTATTCACCTTGAGGAGCAAGGAGACGCTAGTTGTCAGCTTGTCTTTATGTAGTGGGGGGAAAATTGCTTTAATTCAATATGAGATTATAGACAGACAAAAAAAAACACTCTGATTATCAACTCATTCACCCTTTGTTTTCCATTGGATCTGCTGCAGTGAAGTCACTAAAAACGCTGAAGGCAACTTAATTTTTTTAAAAAAAATCCCAAATAATCCAGTTCATGGACAGTTTGTAATAGGATTAATTAATTGAACAATTGCATTAACACTCGACTTCACTTTGCATAAAATGTTCACAGGAATCCTGCAAGTTCTAATAAATGCACCCCATTTCATTTAAGTAACAGAAATGGAAACATTTAACACAACATCGTTCTCCCCACTCCTCAATGTCAATGATAAAATTGTCATGAGAACCAGGTTTAAATAAAAACTTCCAGTTGTCAGGAATATATGATGCACTAAATATCTGCTTTGCCTGTGTAAGCACCAAGACACAGGTTGAGGTGTTTAACCAAAGCAGAGGAGCTTCTTATAACTGTAAACATTCCTGAAACAAAATATTAATATTAAAAAAAGGGTGAGAGGAAAAGCTATTTTGGACGGTGATCTTTTTGTATAGTGCGATGTGTTTGGGGACTTTCACTGTAGAAATTGTCCCAATGTGAGGAAACAGCCCAAGGTGAGCAAGGCAGGATCATTTGTAAACTTATCGCCGGACAATCAGCATGTTAGCTGGTGAAGAAACATTAGCATGTGACATTTGACTTACTAATATAAGTGTAGTAATATTCCACTTAGCATCAGACATAAAAATATAGATTTGAAAGTCTTAAAACATACAACATAACATAAGGACATAAACATTATTTTTCTGTGAGCATGGTAGAATATTTTATCTGGTGGAAGGCAGTGCAATTGTACTTTACTTTGGGCATTGCTTTTATTATTCCTCAGTAAGATTGTAAGTCATTGTCAACAGGGTGTAAACTGTTATCCTTGATAACAGCTTGGAATTGCAAATGCTGTCAGTGATAAATAATCCCAAGTGCCTCCTCATGCTATGGCTCTGCATGATTGAAAATGGGAGCTTTCATTTCTTTGAAACCATTAATACTTAGGTAGCAGAAAATGGTCATGTTACTTCTTATGTGAGTGTTGACATGTGTATTACCCTCTTTAACTTGTGTTATGGTAGGTCTACATCAGGATCAAGGATGATGAATGGAACGTATACAGGAGATATACAGAATTCCGAACATTGCATAACAGACTGCGGACTAAGTTTCCTTCAGTAAGCGCCTTCAATTTCCCTCCAAAAAAAGCCATTGGAAACAAGGTACCTAACAAATCTTATACAGCTTCACACCTTTTCTGATTAAAATGAAACAGTGCTGAATATTCCATTTGCAATACCATTAGCGTTTGCTTGCCATAAAACATTCACATTATAGGTCAACTGATGGATTAAACTTAACGCCTTTGCAGAATGTATACGTTACTGAATGAAAAAGAAAGATTGCTATTTGTACGAAATCAATTTTGGTACATACTTCCACTTCTGCTTTGGAAAAACATATTGATTTTTGTTTGGTGTGCATTGAGTACTGCTACCAACGAGAATAAATAGGCGATCCAATTTAAAAGGACACTACTTTGCTTTTAAGTATTTACCATGCTAAAATACTTTGCTAATTATTTTTTTTTTCCAATCTCGATACTCCTGTGCCACATATTCCCTGGGCTAACGAGGACTGCGCCAACATTATTTTGGTAACATTTTAAAGCTACTTGGAGGAGAGTTCCCTCAAAGGACTTATTTCATCCAGTGAGGTGTTTTTGAATTCAAAGTTATTTTACAACACTGCCACGATTCCAATTGGAATGACTTAATTAAATGTATATGACAGCACAGACACACTGTAGCAGAAATCCAGCAAAAACTCTTCAGCTCTTCAGATTTCTTCAATTGGTGCCCCAGATGTGGGGGAGGAAAGACATCGGGGGGTCGAACCGGATGCCTAGATTTCACACTGGTTCGGTGAATGTGAGCATAGATGGGACAGTTCCATTTAGTGTATTTAAATGTCTTTGTATAAATGAGGTTTATCAAACAGACCCTCAAGTGACTGATGGAAATATTGAATGAGCAGGTTTGAACCTATAGGGAATTAATTCTAGCTGCTTTCCATGTTCTGTATAAATTTGCTCCAATAGTTATTATTGTACTTTGCTTTATATTTTTATCACAACACTCATCCAGTTTAAAAAAAACTTATGTTTATAATGCGCGTTCAATAGTCACAGAGTGTTTTTAAATTATACCAATATAATTCTAAAGCTGTCCTAGTAGAAATTTGGACACAAGCCAAGGAAGCAAATGATGGCCAATAGCTCTGGCAACCACTTAATATAATCAAATAGCGCATATTCTGCTGCTTCTCTGCTTCCAAGATTCATCAGAAGCAGAGGACATTCGTGCTTTGAATTATGTTTACTGAATTCTATTAAAGCTACATGACCACACAACGATTTGGCTAATCACTGTTCAATATTCGATTAATGCTATTTATTAAAATTGAATTGTATCTTTTCAGAATTTGTTTGAACAAGAAGTTTCAACTGTTTGTAAAACCTTAGCTTTTTTTTTTGCAATTTACTCTATTCTGTGTCTAAATGGGCCACTTATCATTAACTGGCCATGAGGGTAGGTGGATAGCCTGCTCGAGAGACAGTTTACTCAAGAATAGCTGGGTTGTCCCAATTTCCAAGTTTTCTTCCTTCCCCGGGTCTGTGCTTCAGATAAACAAAATGATTAGATAAAGAAAAACGTACTGAAGACACTTAGCTAAGGTATCAAGTGCCATTGCACTCCAGGTATTGTGTGCCTCGTAAAGAGAAAGCCAACACTTTTTAAGCTTTCAGAAACTTCATTTTATGGCTTTTCGCTGCTGCTCATTTGTCATTTAGGAATAAACAGATAGTCATCTCATCTTCTGCAAAAGAGATTGGAAAAATCAATTTTTTGCCCAAAGAAGGACGTTTAGATGAATTATCCAGTTCAATAGCTACGGTTTCAGAAATTGTTAGTATCATTCAGCTTTACTAATGCAATGTAATCCCCACATTACTTGTGGAACTGTTAGAGCTACACTCATTTATTTTTTTCAGAATTCAATGTAACTCTGGAAACGTTTCAGCCCAGTAAAACACATTGCAAGTCCACGTTGCTTTTGGCTGATGATATTTCCAGTATTTGATTTATGTGTGATCATGATCTTCTTCCTGCCTCGTAATTCAATTTTTTGAATATGAGTGAACAGAAGGACACCATTGTCTTTTCCAAGTGTTCTAAAGACAATATATTTGGTACTGTGGCAAAGTACCAGCGTTTGGTTTCAGTCCATGTAAAACAAAAGAAAAAACATTCTCGTAAATCAGAGCTTATGGCAGGAGATTTTTTTAGACAATGCCACATTTAAAATATTGGTCTGTAACTTATTCACTGAAAAAGATCACAGTGTAGGTGTCTTGATGCGGAATGATAAAGGCCTATCTTAAACATAGCTGTTGAATTCAGCATTGTCTCAAAGTCTTTGTCTTCTTTGCTGGTAAAGAGAACTTTGACCTATTTTTTCTTAAGACAATTATTGCAATTAATTAACTTTGCCCTGTAATAATCTCTTAATGCTGTGTAGCTTTTAGATAGATCACATTGTTGGTGTGATAATTAGCAGCTTTACGTGTCACCTCCGAACCACTGTCTAAATTTAAATTACAACTTAGTCCTTATGAGTTGCACAGCTTTTTTGGAGTTCACACTAATTTATATTTGATTGCAACATTTGTTTCTTGCCAACTTTCTCCCATCCACTCTTAGCCCAAAGCATTGACTTCATCAAGTTGTACAGACAAAAAAAACGCCATGTGGGACCTCATCCAAGTGATCACATTCTTGGCAATGAGCTTTGGCAGCCGAATCAAATCATCTAATACTTTATCAATTTTTAAACATTTTTAGGGGATGGGGAAGAAATTTTGAAAAGTTTATTGGTGTAGTTAAAAAGGATAAAAGTTTTGGTTCCTTTCCGAGTGCGAATGAAATTGTAATGAAGAGCAGCATGATGTCACCTCTCATTGTAATGGATTATAAAATGTATAAATGAGAACAGAAATGAAAAGCAATCTAACATGATTTCTTTGAAATTAAGTTTCAATGTGATTGCCATTTCCAGATGATATATTTGAACTTATTTTATTGGAGAAAAGAAATATAACAGAGGAAAATTTAACAGCATAAGTCCTGGTTTGGATTTTGAACACACAACCTTCTGACGCAAGGCGAGAGCACTATAAACTGAGACAAACTCAGACACTTCAATTAAATTCATAGAATCATAGAATATTACAGCCCAGAAGGAGGCCATTCGGCCCATCAAGCCTGTGCTGGAAGAGCTACCTAATCAGTCCCACTCCCCTGCTCTTTCCCCATACCCTTGCAACTTTATAGAATCATAGAATATTACAAATATTGCAGAAAATTTCAGTATGGTCTACCCATTGTGGATAATATCTAAGTCCAAAATACTAAATAAAGTACAATTTAATCCTGGAAATATTTGTGATATCTGGTTAGAAAAAAGTGTACAAACCCTTTTAAATACCAATGGAAATACAGGAACAGCAATTTCACAATAGATCTTTTGTTAGCTTTGATATCCTTTCTAATTCTAACCTTGAATTCTTTAAAATGTCCTGTATTGACATTATCATCAGCTTTCAACTGTACATGTATCACACCACTTCAATCTCACAACTATTTCTGCAACCTATTCCACAATGTTGCTTTGACGAGAGAGCTATCTGTCAGAAAGTTGCGCAAGGAGCTCCAGATTTAAAAAGTAATGAGAGAACCTGAGGAAAATACAGAAGAATTCTTTCACATTTCAATGTTACCGTAGAGGTGCTTTATCTCTCTCCTTATGGAACAAGACAAAACCGGAGATGTGAAGTAATGCAAATAGTAGTGTCGTCAAAGGCTGGCGGGGGTGTTGCTGGGGTGTAGTTAATTGTAGCAATGTAAAGTTCATTTCAACCTTGTGTTAATCATGTGTCCAGAAAGTTATGTTTAATTTTTATGTTTTTAAGGATGCAAAATTCGTGGAGGAACGGCGCAAACAACTGCAGGAGTACCTGAGAAACATAATGAACAAAATTATACAAACACTTCCCCAATTTACAGCCAACCCCAAAAAAGAAACCCTTGTACAGCTTCTGCCATTTTGTGTGTAAGTATGTGACCTTTTTCTGTTGGTCAGTTTTTAAAAGTACATGTGTCCACATTATTCAGAGAAAGTGTAGTTGGAGATGATGGTAGGTTTTGAGTTGTAGTGTATAAATTCATTGATCATCCATTCTCCCCAATACTACCATGTACATCGTAAGGTTTGATTGGATTTTCGATTTGTACACATGATGTTTGGAGTCATTCACCCAATTTTCAAAAGCAAAGTTTAATTTTTACATGATTTAGGCTATTTCGATATAGGCTATTTTGGAAGCATCAGTGGCACAGAGTATCATCTGTTTCAAACTCTGGCATAGTTTGCTGCGCCAGGGAGAAACGGGAAGTGACTGTAGCCATGATGGCTGGTCTAGCCAGGATTATATCCTTTCATTAACAACAACCTGCATTTGTATAGCACCCTTCACGCAGGATATCCTTTCAGGAGTAGCAAAACTATATTATGCAATTTAGAAATCACAGTGACCTTTTATACCCTTGCATGACATCCAGTCGACTTTCAACCAATGCAGTAGAACAGTTTCCTCATTACACTTACGTAACGATTTTAGAAAGTAATGTGGATTCATATAGTAATAGATGTTGGTGGGAGTGGGGAGGAGGGGGATTGCAGGCTGCATGCATTCTCAGGATTCTGCTGATGCTCATCGTTTATAAAACCATGACTGAATTGTAGCCTTGGACTCCCATCAAACAGGCAAAAACGTATATTTCTATTTCCTGGTATTACTAATCAAGAGAAGATTGCACACTGCAGCATTTCCACTTGGTGATGTAAAGTACGAAGAGAGGCTTTTCACAAATATTGCCAAAAAGATTGATTTTGTGATCTTGTGATTGCTGCTTTCCTTTCTAATTAACTTCAAAACAGTATGGCTTCTGCTGCAAGTTTACAAAGTAAGCCCATAGCTTCAGGCCATGCTCTTTTGCCCATCTGAATGGATAATATAATAATAATCCTTGCATTTGATATAGCGCTTTTCAAGTCTTCTCGACGTCTCAAAGCGCTTCACAGAATAGACTGTAAAGTGAATTGACCGTATATTTGTGGGCGAAACGCGGCAGCCAATTGCGCACAGCAGCGTCCCACAAACAGTCGTGAATTGAAAATGACCAATTTATTATTGTTTTGTTTTGGAGGGATTACTATTAGGCGTGTGGAGTAAGGAAACTTGCCCAAAGTTTTGCCCTGCCTGGAAATAAACCTAGGTGTCTCGCTCGCAAGGCGAGTGCTCTAACCACTGAGCTACAGGACTCCAAATAGACCATTAAAAAGGCAGTAACATTCTGTATCATGCCAATAAAATTCACCATAAGTGTGGGTAAATGCTGGGATGATTATTGTGCAGGTTTAGTTAGCATTGTCTCATTTATGCATAATTGATTCAGTTGTTGGTATCTTCAGACATTGCACATTCCTATTCTGGGGTCCAGTTTTATAGAGAGAATGGAATAGTGAAATAGCTACTAGGATTACAATACTAATCCTTGCATTTGACTATAACTCTGTTACCAATATGCACCATAAATTGGTAAAAAATATTAAACCAGTCTTTGACAAATAGCTGATATCAAAAGAAGATCCGTAAGAAATTATTTTACATTCTAAACATGACTATTTTGAAGGCTGTCATCCTTCGGATGAGACTTTATACTGAGGTCTTGTCTGCCTGTTCAGATATATGTTAAAGATCCCATGGCACTATGCAGTTTGGCCAAAAATCCCCCAGATAAAATTGGTCATTCACTTTATGACCGTTTTCAGTACAGTGCCGTGTGCAAATGGGCTCCTGTGTTTACGGGCTGCACAATCACTACATTTTACAGTATATCCTGTGGGGCACTTTCTTCCTCTGTGAAAAGCAGTGTATCAAAGGCTAGGATTTTTTTTAAGCTTTTTTCTGCAATTGTCAGGATCGTCCCCTCACATTCATTTTCTATAGCACACGCCCTGCTTCTGTGGCTTGCCAAGAAGTGTGTGACAATAGCCCAGCAACAACTCTTTTCCCCTTCTATGGAGAAGCATCAGGTAGACATAAGTAGAGCTTAATGAGGGAAATCACACCTTCATCCCTCCTTTCTGTGCCACCAGCACGATGTCCTACTGCACCACCTGCTTTTCCAGTCTTATATTAATTCTTTTACGGATCCTGTTGCTTATGTTTTCATTAAGAAATCTTTTCATATCCTTTTAATAGTTGAAGCATAAATTTGTTAATTAGTGATCTGGTGGCCAAGGGAGTCTTGGCTCTGAATTGTAGCTAGGTTAGAGCAGGTTACAGGAACAGAATGTTTCACCAACTGAGAAGATGTATATGTCTAATATTTAATATGTTTATGTTGAAACCTGCTATTCAGAATGTTGTGTTTAAAAGCATACAACATATCTCCTCAAATCTGCAGAAAAATGTGCACAATTCAGGCAAAATATTCTCTGAATAACTGAAGCAGTAACGTTGTTAAAATGTGAGGCAGTCTATTGTAGGATATTTCTAATAATTTAAACAAAATAATCCTTGCATTTGACATAGCGCCTTTCACATCAGGAAGATGTCTCAAAGAGCTTCACAGGATTTACTGTAAATTGTAGTGTTTTTTCATGGAATCGATAGTTGCTTATTTCAGTGGTGTGTCTCCCCTCCGATCAGCAGGTTATGTGCTGAAGCCCTACATCCGGACTTTGAGCTCACAGTCCAGGCTGACACTCCAGTGCAATCCTGGGGAGCGCTGCATTGTTAAAATATCATTCTTCAGATGAGATATTAAATTGATGTCATGTCCTGTCTGTTCAGATGAACACCATGACACCCATGACACTATTCACAAAGAGAAGGGATTTTCTGATATTCTGGCTAACCACCCTCAAGAAAACATAGCTATTTGTGAGACGTGGCTATTTCATAGTGATGTTTCATGATAGTTTCCAAGCACTGTTTTAGTCACCGGATAGTTTCCCTGGTCTGTACAGCTTTCAAAAATGATAGTAGTGGAAAACCTTTAGTTGTTACACACACAGTGTAGGGTTTAAACTGCTCACAAGAGCTCATAAAAGTATTACATTCAGCTAGCCAGAATGTTGTATTTCAAACGCTGATCAAATTATGGTTGCGTGATTTGCTTTGTATAGCTGTTACTAAAGCAAAAATTGCAATAAACTGACACAAAAAACGACATGTAAAAAGAAAAGGTTAAGAAAAGGAATTGCTCAATTTGTTGAGCTTGTTGCATTCAGCCCACAGTCCAGCTTCTCTGAGGTACCTTCATCTTGATTCTGTTAAACAGTCTGGGTTGAAATCTGTCTCGAATCAGTTTTTATACAGATAGATCGAGAGGGTAATTGCACCTTCCACCATCCCCCTTTAGGGTGGAGTAATTTTGAACATTTTTTTAGAGGGCTATCCATTTCACGTTTGCACAGTTCAGTGAGCTGGATGTTTCCCATAATACTATCAGAAAACGTTCCTTGACAGTTAATCTTTGGCTGCTGCCAAATTCATCCCCATTGAAACAGTACTTTATGTTGAATGATAGCTAGTAACCAAAAGCCTGTCAAAAACTTTGAATATGTAGTCATATAGTTACCAGTGTACTGTATTGTGGAGCCTCAAAGCAGTATGGTTATTTAAATGATATTAGTAGGTTTGGGGATCATCACCATTTAAATTATAGGATATCGTAAATTTGCCACAGGCATGCATGATGAATGACCCTGTAATGCTAACTGCTGTCAAGAGACACGGAGCAGAAGATACTGTATATTTATGCTCCCTGAAGTTAAAATCCTCCTCAGTGAGTAGGCTAATTAATAGTAGTATGCATAAAATAACATTGTACTTTACATTCTATGCCTTTAGGTATCTATCACTGTGTCTGTCTGTCGATGTCTGTATGGATTTATATCTATCTATTTATATCACTAGCTATATCTCTATCTATAAATCGCTATAGATTTCCATTAATATTTAAACTAATTTTAAAGCAATCTAATATGACAATTACAATCAATTGAACTACAGATATTTTCGTGTTGGGATTTGGGATAGGTACAAGTTAAAGTCAATACGTTAACAGGAATGTTTGTAAATAATCATTGCTTTCTTCATAAGCACCAACAATTTACAGCAAGTAGGTAGGTGGTAACTCAGGATAAAAATAAGCTAGAAATAATGATTCCTTCAGTAGATTAAAACTTAGCACCTTGATTGGATTTTACAATGAATTACATATATTAACAGTTCTTGGAATTACAGAGCAAACAGAGTTCATGCCCATGTCCTTTTGCAACCTTTACGTAAAGTGAAAGAATAATAGCCTTGTGCAAAAGATTGTTGCCAAGAAAGCATTAAGCAGGTGCCATAGTGAAATGGAAAGTATGTGTACTGCATAAATAAATAATACCTCTGAGCATTAACTACATGGAGACTTTCTCTTCATACATTTAGTACATCTCCAGTCACATTCATTCTCAACTGATCGGTGCTGCCCTATTTTATTGCATTCCATAGGTACTTGAACAAAACAGATGAATTACAGTAATTAAAAGAAGCTCATATTTTAATTGCCATTGCTAATGAGACGTCACTAAGTAGTAGTTCATTGTATTTGTCCAATACAAGGTCTATGCTGTTAATTGGTCTATAAGGTAAACTACTTAAAATTTACAAAATATACAAAATTAAAAAAAGCGTTTTGTAAACATTCTGTAAAACCTCTGATTCCATTACAGCTATTATTTTGAATAATTTATTTACAGATTCTAACCATTGCAAAAATAAACCCCCCCCTCTCCCATCTCTTCTCTCTTCACTCCAGCTGGGCTCCCAGTCAGCTGTGTGAAGTGCTTTGAGACATTCTTCCAATGTGAACTGTATCAAATTAAAAGATTATTATTACGTAACTAAATTGTACTTAAATTTTAGTGAGCTTCAGTTTCTCAGTACTGCGTGCCGGGATATTCACAAGAGTACGTTAAGATCCTTTGTA